AAAATCTCAGTTTTCTACTGAAACCAAAATATAAGGTAGAAGATAAAGGAATCGAAGAGCAGAAGATGATTATGAAGAAACCTGAAATTTGGTGTAGTTACTGTTGGACTTCTGCCCGAGAATCCTGAATGAAAGAGGATCAGTTTCTCCAAGGTGGTGAAATGGAAGAGGATGGGAGAAGACTTCACAGAATATGCTGTTTCTTTACTTTCACAGAGTGATGGGAGCTCAGACATAACTGATCACCTATTTCCATGAAGATTTTGGCATAAAAAAAAGAGATAATAGCAAAGCATTTTACTTGCAAAATAATCAAAAAACTAATCACCAGGAAGGCACACTTTTCATGCAATTTATATATGTGTTAAGATAGTTCTAGGCAGATGCTAATTTATTCTAGTCTATGGAAGCCAGAACTGCTTACCTGAAAACCTTGATAATGAAGTTTTAGATCTTCTATTTGGTCCACAAGTTCAGTAAAGTGGCAGATGCATGTACTTCTGCCTGTTGGATGCCTAGTGGTGGACCATGGGGTGACTTTGTCCCTTTGTGAGACAACAGCAAGACGGATCCAAGTCAAAACTCACTCATCAGCATGCAGAATGGCTCCATGGTACAGACATTAAGGTTAGACACAAGAAGAAATTTTATTGCCAAATGTTGTGGGTGTGTGTTTAGTGATGATTTTTAACTTAGAGGAAAGTTCCCACAAAGTTTACAGAATCATTCTCTCCCTCTCTCCCCCGCCAAAAAAGAAAATGACTGTAACTAACTAAACAACATTGGGAAGAAAATAAATGGCTTCCAAAAGCTTCCTCTGGAGCTTTAGGATAAAAGGTGGGACATCTAGATGGTCTTTGGATGCAGCAGGCCTCAGCTTCAAGGAATTCAGATATGAAAGTCATCTATGGAGTCACCCATTAAAAAACCAAGGACTTAATGAGCTTCAGAAATATAAATTTCAAACTATAGGATGAATATCCTGTTTTTCACCCCCTTTTGTTTCCACGCATCTTCAATCTAAAGAGCTAAAACATAGGAAATATCTAAGTAAGGAGGCCCCTGCCTTACTAAGGTTACTTCGCCCTGGCACTCTTACCCCCCACTAAAAAACACCACCTCTTCCCTTTCATCCCTAATCACAACCCACCTTTAATCACATCTCCTTGTTAAAGCACACTAACCATGACCTTTTCCCTCCCACCAGAAACCCCTAATTCTAGCTTTTCATCTTTAATCAAGGCATGCCACTTTTCAAAAATAGCCATCGTGTAACACATGGAGGGCCCCGTGTCATGAGTGATCCCAAATGGCCTCCATCTCCATTTTCTCATTGCGTCTCGACAGAGCACTGGTGCTAAGTAAAATGTAACACTCAGGGTAACTCTATTCAACAGGCTTCCTTCTAGGGATGGCTTCCAGATGTGAGGAAATGTTAAAAGTCTGTGGCCCTCAACATATCGTTAGGTCCCTCCAGTGTTTCCAAAAGTCCATAATCACCAGCACACTGCTGTCTCCATTTCAACATTTGGCCACAGACACTCCAGAGAAATTAAATCATGTGGATAAGAAGATTTCACAAATAACTTCCTATTTCCATGGTATTCAAGTACCCGGAATTAATTTAATTTCCTCTGCAGAGTTGGTACCTTTCAATTTGATACCCACCCATCCGCCCCCCACAAGCACATGTGCTCACTCACACCAGCGACATTTTCACGGATGCCGTGGTTTCCATTCCTCATTTCTTTGGGGGAACATTATTGCTAGTAATTTTCCAGGCCAAGCCTCTCACCCACTGCATAAGGAAAGCATTTGTATGATGCTAATCTCCAACTTGAGCTCAATCTCATAAAACCTAAAGGAGCATCTCAGCACGGTGGAAAGTAGAGCAGTTTTCCGATACTTTGTGTATCTCCACACCCCACCACAAACGTAAAAGAAAAGAAAAGCCTTTGCCTGAAATTTGCACTTGCCTCAGTAGTGTATTTTAGGATTCGAAGTATCAGAGTAACTGACTTCATTGTCAGCTCCTGGTACACTGAACAAAGAAAACTGTATCCCAAAACTACGGATGGAAAATATTTTTCATTTAGATCAACCTGTATGTTTACTATGTCATTTGATATTTATAAAGTGTTGGGAAAGAGCATCTAAAAATACAGCCTTATGCTAGAAAGATTGGCTGAGGAAATTGTTCCCAGGAGATAGGAGACTTGCCCTGAGCCCTGGGCTATCCTGTCGAGGGCACAGACTCTGGCCTTTGTTAAAGGCACCTGCTGCTCTGGGTCATGTCTCATTTGTCCTCACATTGTAGGAAATCCCAAGTGCAATATCTATAATATATAAAAGGGATTTAAATGAAGGTCCATCTGGGGAATGGGTGAGGAAGAGGAAAATTATCTTTTTATGTTTCTCCTTGAACTTCTGTCTGGTAACAATTTAAGTTCTGAGACGCCTGCACTCATGTATTCACAGAAAAAGCTCTGAAGAAAAGCTGTCAGTTTTTACTCTTCAGAAGTGAACGGGGAGATGCCCAACCGTGAGCACAGACGTGGGCTTACCTAATAGAAATACCATCTTATTCTTGGCTTCGCCTGGCTGAGGCCACTCTGACCTCGGGTCTAACTTCTAAGCAAGAGGGTAGAAAAAAATGTCTTTTGTGGAGATTTCAAACTGCAAACATTGAAAACAGAGGCCATGGATTTGATAGAACCCACCTGTAAAGCAGCATTTAAAGGCAGACAGAACATTCTATTTATGGCTGATTTGATTTACCTTAGAACACAGTTTACATTCTCCTATGTTGAATGAAATCAGATTTTACTAAGTACAATGATATCCTGAATTTTTATACATCTCCTTTTTAAAATACCATTTACAGATTATTTTTATCGTACCTCCAATCTTTACTATTAAAGTTTATAATTCCACAATGACTTCATGAAAGGAATCATATGCAAGGAGGGACCAGGAGCAGAGGGAAGTGGAAAAAATACAACCCACGGGAACCTTGTCCTAAAACATTCAAGCTCATGGCCACCTAGCTGTCCTCTCTCTCATTAACCGTCAGCAGAACTCGCTTCTAAACATGGAGATGTGGAAAGTTTGCTGGCTGCAGTGTGGAAGACTTTCTGGGCACCGTGCTTGAAGTGTTTTACTCCTTCTTCCTCCCTCTGTCTCCGTTCCTGGGAGATTTTCAAATCAGCAGGGAGAAGTATCCCCATTTTGGCAATGGAGTGGCCAGTTTTAGCCCTTAAAGTCTCATTTCCTGGAAATCCTTGGTCCTAAGCAAACCGGAATGATCAGTCACTCTTAGCTCGCAGACAGGGGTTTCTTATTTCCTTCTTCCCAAATGGTTTCCTAAGGTTTTCCAGATAACAACCAAGAGGGCTTGGTTCTTTGAAGGTAACCAGGCTGCGGCCAACATATGTCTTGCTCCACGAGATCTTATGGTCGGTTTTCTCCCATTTTATCCAGCAATGGGGTATCAGCACGAAGAACAGTTCAAGCTGCACAGAAGGCACAGAGCCTGGTGCAAGCTTACCACGCCTCGTGGAAAAGCAAGTGATCACAGAGGCCTTTTTGACAGGGAAGAAGGACTGCACCTTCCACCCTCCTGAGATTCTTCCCCAGGTGCTTGGTCCTGAAAGTTCCTTGAAGGTCACAAGAGCCTTTTTCAGCTTACTCATACACAGGTTCCCAGGGAAGTGAACTGTACAAAATTATATTCATTTTTTTTAACCTTGATTTTCCCTCCAAGGTAAAAATAATGCCTTGTAATGAATAAATGGCAACCAGATGAAACCCAGAAAAATGAAGTCATAATGTGGCCGTAAAGATTAGGCTCATATTCTGATATTTCACAGTAGTGTGTGTGTAGGTATACAGGGATGTGCGTGTGTGTGTGTGTGTGTGTGTGTGTGTGTGTGTGTGTGTGTGTGTGTGAGAAAAGAGGGAAAAGAGAGAGGGAGGGACTGGGGAGCAAGATAGAGTGGGAAGTGAGCAGACAACCTGCCCTTACATTTCCAAATTTTAGGTAATTTTCCTTTTCCCACAACACAAAAAGTGGGAGTCAGATTGACAATAAATGAATATTTCTAGGTCAGGTACAAACTGAATAGGCTTACCACTATATACAAAGTCATTGAAGAGAAGGCAGGGGTTGCTTTCAAGATACAAAATGCTCAGCATCATCAAAGCCATCCTGGGACTGAGGATTTTACTTCATTTCTGGTGGAAACTTGACTATTACTTTCAAGAGACAGTTGCAATGGATTTTCCAATGATTGAACAAGGTCATTGAAACTCCCGGACACACAGATACATTTCTGTACCCCTTCCCTACACTCAACCAGGGGACTGGTCCTCCCTCCTGTGCTAAGACTGCATGAAACTTGTTGTTTTTGTATAATTCAAGACTTGAACAAAAAATACATTGCTCTGCACCAGGCCAGAAAACTCTCTCCTAAGAATTTACAGGCCATCTGTGGAGTTTTAAGGAGATTTCAAATGTAATGATCATAAGCCAGATTTCCTAACACAGCTGAAAATGAGGCCTGCCTAGAGAGAAAAGTAGCTGTAGGTGTTTTATGAACTTTCTAATTGATATTGTGAATAGTGAAAGATGTCATCCACTCGCAGATCCTCTTCAAGACTAACTTGAGTCAAGCCTGTAAGTTGGAGGAAATAATGATGACAGCTTTATATTCTTGGAAATCATGTTTCCCAACCTGGCACTGTGAGACCTAATCCACCTTCTTAGTAGAGCTTTTCCTACATAGTTTAATCTCTCTCATCGGGTGCCAACATTGGAAACCGAAGGCACACAGTCCGTCATTTATATTTTTCTTTAAGTGATGGAATTCATACAGCATAAGTTGCTTTGAACATGGGAGAATAAAAGTTCTATTCAGAACGGTTCCAGAAAGCAGAGAGGAAAGAGCCTTCCTGCCTTAGCTGGGATATGTTCATGCACATGCTCACAAGACACTGGCTTCATGCATATCAAAGCAGCCCAAAGAAAGGCAACGTCAGAAGAGAAACCTGGAGGCTTCATCCACATGCTGTTCCGCATGTCCACAAATGAACTAATTCAAAAGCTGTTCTCACCCAGCACACTTGACCTATCCGTTCCCAAAGGTGGATGCCAGAGACCTGACTCTGATGACATTTCAAGGTTCAGTGCTTCCTGGGTGCTCCCAGGCAGAAGTGCCACACTTCTGCTGGGGCAGTAAGCAGTTTGTCTTGTGATCATGGAGTCAGTGCCACCCCATTCCAAACATGTACTACTGAGGGCCATCCCTGATATGTCCCAGCATATTTCTTGCCAGCCTCTCCCAGACACAAAACGTCCTCACCCAAGAGGCTTCTACCTGTGATCAAGACGTGGCTTTTCTTTTTTGACCTGAATGGTGCCCCGTGGCTACCTTTTCCTCCAGTAGCATCAGCTGTATGTTCTATTTCCTGTTTCCAAGACTGTTAGTGCTGAGCATTCTCATAGATGATTTATTAGTCTCTTTAGTAAGGAACATTTCTGTAAGGATCCTGTCATCTGCAAAGCGTATAGCAGAAGGGAGCTTTAGTTAAGGCATGGTTATCTAAATTGCATTAGGTTTTGCTTTGGCAAGGACACCAGATGGATGCCTTTATGATGAAGTCGGTCTCCTCCAGCCTTTTCTTTTATGCAGGTCTCCAACAGGTGTTTCCTCTAAGGGATATCTGTTTTCCATAACATTGCAATGAAGAAAGATGTTGTCTATGACACTTACATACATAGATCATGCTTTTACTGTGATGGGAAAGTGCACAGTGATTGATATGCTGTTCTGAGCCAAGTTAAAAGGTGCTTGGGAAAAGATCATCTTCTATTTGCCAAAAGGGCATTTAATTACCAGATCAAGGACTCTTCATTCATCACGGGGGTGGGGAAGAACGTAAAAGCTGAAGAATGTGACAAAAGGAAAGTAGCAGCAGTGACTGTGCACTTGAGCGCTGAGGACAGAGAGCAGGAAGGCATCTCTCTGAAGGTAAGATAGCTATTTCCAAATTGTTTTCAGAGTGTCCAGAAAAGACATTCGCCGCCAACTTGGGTACGTTATGTAAACGTATGTTCTGAGAAATCTGAGGGACAGTGTCTAGGAAGCTACTCATGGATAGAAAGAGCGTTGTACGAATGAGTAACATAGCCAGTTCTCCAAATCCTGATACAAATCAGAACCAGACTAAGGTCTTAAGTGTGTTCCCTGGTGAGTCGCTTGAACAAGCTCGGCATAAAGCCATCATTATGGTCCTGTCTAGTGCCGTAAAGAGAGCCTGTGGGGCTCTTAGAATTTGGTGTTGGGGTTCATGACTTATGGATATTTAAGCCACCAAAACCATGTTAATTTGATGAATGATGTAACCCATTTCAGTCAAGCCGACCTTGAGGCTTACATTACAACGTCTCCTGGTTAGGTAAATGACAAGAATCCACTAAATCCACTGTCCGTAGGCTGGTCTGAAGTGCACGGGAGGCAAGGATTGCATCATGCCTCGGACAGTCTCTCTGCTTTTCCAGCGTCCCATCCCCCCACCCTGGCTTCTCTGCCTCACTGGTCCTCTCTCTGTCCCATCACTTTAGGTCTGAGGCTTCAACCTACATTTGAATATGTTCTTTTGTCTGAAAAATTACAACTTAAGGTAGCAATTTAGAAGCCAACCTGGTTTAGGAGAGCAAAATTGCTTGTCATTTTATGGGAGTCTGAGTCTTTGGGACAAGTGTTGAATAGCATGCTGTATTAATCCACAGGGGAAACCCCCAGCCCTTCAGCACAGAGAGCAGTCTGAGAGGATACGCAGTAAAATCTCCCAGGACAGTGCTGTCATCAGCTCCTGACCACCAGGGCTGAATCTGTGCTGTGACATAGTCCAGTGTGTCCCAAAAGGTGTTTCAGGGGCTAGGAACAGATACTTTTAAGTAGGTAAATAAGTGAATAAATAAGTAAATAAAATCAGTAAATAAATACTAAAAGCTTTTGTGGCCTGATAAGTTTGTGAAATGCACAATTTTTAAAGGATGTCTTTATTGCAAGACTTTTCAGAACGTTTCATATGTCAGAGCACAGTGTGATTCACAAAGAGGAGCCATTTTTCTCAAACTTTATTTGACTACGGGAAACATTTCCTCGGGATTTCTCCAGTTTCTCATATGCCGTGGAACACGGCTTTTGGAAAAGGTATTTGTGTTATGACAGGATGGACTTATGCTGCGGTAACAGCCGTGGAATGTCAGTGGCTTAGCACAGTGAAGGCTTATTGCTTGTTCATGTTACATGTTCGGCACAGGTCAAGCAGGCAGGGGCACTCTGCTCCACAGAACCACTTGTGTCCCCAGGCTGGTCATCTCCACAGCAGGTCAGGAGAGAGCCTGAAGAGTCACATGGGGCCCTGCACTCCCTGCACTGTCACTCTCACCTTTCACCAGGCAGAGCTAGTCACGTGGCCCGCCCACCTGTGCGTGTGCCCAGGAAGGAAAGAATGGGGTATTGTGAGCACTGGTAACCTCAGCTTCAGTATTATTCTCACATTGGCATTTACAATTTGTTAGCTGTTTACGATTTGAACACTTTATATTATTCATAAAATAAAGGGATATCCATGAAATAGTGGTCTTTAAAGTCTCTGGCAGAGACAGAAATGCCCACCAAATATTTTGATTACTTCCCATATCCCCCAACCCTCTTAAAGTCAGCAGGACCCATGCAACTAGCTCTGGCCAATGAGATATAAGCAGAAACAATGCGTGTCACTTTGGGCCAAGGCAGTTAGAAGCCAGAGCTCGACTGTCCGTTCCTCTCTCTTCTCCCACCTGATGACTGAAGAGGGCACATGGTTCGGGTGTTGTGGCTGTAAGACGGTAGAGCCTTTGCCACTCCACGGTTCTGAGTGGTTGTGTGGAGCACAGGCACATTTCATCTGAGTGACATAGTCAGTGTGGGTGTGAAATAGCCTGTGTTGTGTTAGCCCCCTGGGATTCCAAGGCTGTTTCTGCAGCCTAAGCCTAGATTCGTCTGATTTACACAGGTCCTTTCTAACCCTAAACCTTCTGTGATTTTAGAAGGGTTTCCTCTGTTCTCTGACAAGGAAATACTAGTATGCATTCCTTAGGATGTGAGTGGGATTTTTCAAAAAATCGTCTAACCCGTCCAGTGATCAAACACATTATGAAACAGGCATTGTGTCTAGTATCTAGCTGCAATGAGGTGTTGCCACATGGAGGTCTTGATTGAGATCAAGATCAGGGCAAAGTCTCGGCAAATGCAGGCCAGAGATGGGAGCTACAAAGAATGCAAAATGTGTTTAATAAATGAGTGTTTCAACAGAGCCCCATATGGAAAAAGACGTAAAAGGGGAGAGGGAGGGAAACAGACTAAGGAGAGAGATGTCACTCATGATTTAATCTCTCACGGCCTTTTCAATTCTATATTCAGGTGCCCAAAACATAACTTAGAATTTCTGCCAAACAACAGTAGCATTGTGATAGCAGTAAAATTAAAAGTAGAAATAACTAGCTTCAAGGAACATATAATCTAAGGTTGCACGAACGCCTGATGTTTTGGACCCGAGGTGCTCGGCGTGTCTTCTGCGACAGTGCAGCCCGGGCATTCAGCGCCCGGTGCCCATCAGACATGAACCTCCATTCTGGAGTCATTCTCCCTACGTTATTCTCACTCTGGGCTCTAGGCTCCAGTGAGTTTCACATCTTGGCTTTTTTACAGTGGAGCCCTGAGTGTTCTCAGACTAATTCTCTATTCTCACTATTTAGGGCCGTTCTACAGGATGGGGAGCAAGAGTCTGAACAGCTTGACAGCAGTGGCATGTTTCACTGGTGCAAAACCACCCCTTTGGACAAAGTGATCTTGGTAGGTGATATTGCACCAAACCTCAAATAAAATAACGCATCCCTTAGGGTAAATGATGTTCTTCACTGGGTATAAGCACCTGCCATTTTTCATTGTAAAGTGAATTTGGAAGAAAAAACACATATCTCTTCAGCCACATGAATGACACTCAGAGTAACACGTGTGGCATTTGACAAAGACTGAGTGGGTGATAATCTGGGATTGAAAATGAGTGTCAGTCTTCACCTACTTCCTCCCTCCTTTAGCAGTGCAGCTGACTCGGCTATTCAGAATGATGTTCTCCTGAAACTTTGCTATATTACTAGTAAATATAATTAATTTAAGTGCACTAAGGAAACCAAGTATTTTGCAAGAACTCTGCAGTCTTTCTTGTGTTTTAAAGTAAATAAGCATTTCCCTAATTTATAGGTTTTAAAATTTGCATTTTCTATAGTGATTTTTCTTGTAGCTGGCTATACTTACATTTAACACATTAGCCAAGAACGTGTGTCCTAAGTACTTCCTTCCCCCAGCCCCATACAACCTGGGTGAATGTACATATTACACCACATCCCTGTCTCTCCTCTCAAGGAGACTAACTCAGCTCACTGAAATGCCAGGAACTAAGATTTAAAAAGCCTTTTAGCATAATCCAGGCTCTGACACCTGCTTTCTGGTCCCCGTTTCTTCTCATATTCCAGAGTTTGGAAACTCAAGTATAATCTCAGTAATTTACCTTACAAGTAGAAGGTAGTAAATTTAATAAGAATAATTGCTTGCATGCTGTATCAATTCTATATAATTTTTATCTATGACTAATTGATAATTATATATATTATTTTCTTGCTTTTCTAGAGTAGCTTAGTTCATTTTTCTGTTACACACCCATGTGCACATACACGTGTGCACACACACACACACACACACTCATCTTTGTGGCTCAGTGCTAGCATCCTGACAGAATATGTTCCAATTTTTAGAAAACTACGCTCAATCACTTGATCAGAAACAAAAATTGTCAGAGCTGTCATATAAACTGGAAAACTCTTAGACTTGATGAAACTCACCAATTTAGCAATTACATCTTATTCTAAACTATGCAAAATAAACATCCATTGGGCAGGAAACCAAACATGTTTTCAGTGGGAGGCAAATCTTTAGAAAGGTTGAGATGTTGGTTACAGATTGAAGCATCAAAGAAACCAAGGAATGGCTATAGCAGACATTTTATTAGACCATATTTATTAAGCGCACAGACAGATTGCCGAGACAGAGATTTCCCTTGTGGTACTTGATGTAGAATATAGTTCAGAACACCAGCTGAGTCTTTTGTTAAGTTTAGAGATGCTAAGAGTTTGGAAACTTGTGTCCCTATGGGAGAAATGTCCAGATTGCAAAATTCAGGGAGCCTTTGAACTTGGTTTCATTGCAGAAGGGTCAAGTGGAAGTGCTCAATTTAAGTCACTTTGAAGAAATAGCACATCCTCCTCTTCCCCACCTCAAAGCCACCATCTTTCTTACTTGGGAGATGGTTTTGTGCCACGATTTTTTGGAGAAATTGCCTTTCTAGCTGTGCCCATTAATGTACTCTGCCATGTATCTTGTTTCTAATTGTTTAGAGCAATTTCTGGACTTCAGGCATGTTACATTAAATACCATTAGAGGCTTCATTATTCAAGTTAAAACTAATCGGATTAGCCATACACAATTATTTAATAGATTTGGTTAAGATTCATATCACTCTCTAGGAAGGCTCTTGAGAAAAGTAGCTGTATTTTCCCTCCCAGGGAGATCCCCCTTGGTAAAAGAGTATTTCCCAGTACATGCAAATTTGATAAACTCTAATTGTTGAGATGTCAGATGTTACTTATTTATCCTGTTAGATTTCGTCAATCCCTGTTTCATAGAAGCTTGTTATTTAGCCCAGCAATGGACTGGCATAAGGAAGAATAATACATCCATTTGAAATACTCCGAGACTTCCTGCATCTAGTCATGTAGAACATGCTCATGCTGAAATTTAAATACATTTAACTTACTCTCTACCAGCTTCCAAGTGTTGTCCTTTGAACATCTAGGAATTCAATAAGATTTGAATTTGGTTAATCATTATTGAACAGTTGTCAATGAGTCAAGCACTATACAGTATAGTACTTTTAATATATTA